CTTTTAAAAATAACGTTTTAATCATTAACACACACTAACATATAACATAAAACATTAACATATAATACAAACACATACCCATATTATATTATAAAATATATACAGTAAAACCTGTACGAAACGGAACCTGCCTAAACGGTAAAAATCTTTATAACAGAATAATTTTCTATATTAAAAAAAAACGGTTTACACAGGTTACGTAGCATGACATTGAACTATTTTTTTATATATATATATCTAATACAAATAAGTAATTTGAACAATGAACAGTGTTTTATCATTGAAAAATGCTTCAGATTACGTACAAAATTTATCTATAATTATCAATAACACGTATTTTTTTTTCCTGTATAACACACGTAAGTCGTGATTCTCGACTAAATCAGTAAGTCAACGTGACTGTGTAACTGTACAGGTTTATTTATAACACGCAAAACATACCGACTGGGCAACTTATCCAAACAAATCACTATTTAGTTTCTATAACAATTTTAAATTACCTTAATTTTTGGGTTAATTATATACAAAAATAATACAAAAAAAAAAAAATTTTTGAGGTGTTAGTTTACAAGGAAAGAGAAGAAAGTTGGGGGGTGGGTCACGCGATTTTCCAAATAATAATCACGTGATATCGATTATCAAATGGCGGTGCGATCAGTAAGAAGGTCATCTTTCCTACCCTCATTTATCACTTAACGTGTAGTATTTTAATCCGCTAAACACTTTAAAATCCTATTAGATAATGTTACTTACGTATTTAATTAATTATAATTATTATTATTATATATTTTTTAATTGAATTTAAGTCGGGGAAGGTCGTAGTGTGATTCTACCGACGAATTTTCGAGACACATACACCAGCTACAGTCTGTCTGACGGTGATGCCAAGTATCTCTTGGTTATGTCAGGTAATTAGATAGTGGATTTTTCTTTTTTTTTTTTTTTTAATGCGTTATTATCATTTGTTGTTGCATAATTTACGTTTAATAGGAGTTAAACGCGATTATTATTTAGTGTAATAATATTTATCCTTTTATGCTTATTTGCATGTCAATGAGTGATGTTTGTAGTGAAAGGATGGCATTAATTAGATTTAATTGTTGCAGAATGCTGGATTGTTGTGAGCTGTGTCACGTCTCCGAGTGTTTGAAATAAGGTAAAAACCTGTGTAAGCCGGAATGGCACGACATAGAATGTTTCTTAAGTGTTACCGTTTTAAACGTGTATGTGTGTGTGTTTTTTAAGACGGTTCGTTCCGAAGAATTTGTACCGGTTTAGGCAGGTTCTGGTTCCGTTCTGGACAGGTTTTACTGTATATATATATATATACAGTATTATGCTAAAATTAATTTTTTAATTTAAAAAAGTAAGGAATGATGTCGCGTGAGCGCTGTAAAAACCTGTCCAATACGGAACCTGAATAAAACGGAAACCTGCATAGACGGAAAAAATTCTTTTAAACGGAGCGATTTTTCGGTATTAAAAAAAAGAAAAGACCTGTCCAAAACGGAAACCGGAAAAAATATTCGGTACCGTCCGGTTTACACAGGTTTTTTTTTAATGTTAAAACTCAATAAATTATAATTGTAAAGGATAAAAAGAAAGTCAATTACATAAAATTCAATATAAAACTTACACTTATATACAATGTACTGTACAGTACAGTTAATAAAAAATAAATCGCGAGTAATATTACACCTACTTATAATTTTTATTTTTTATTTTTTACGGGCAAAAGTACGTTTTGAAAATTAAAAAAAATTATAATTTAAATATATTATATAACGTTCCATTTAAATCTACAAATAAATAAATAAATAAAAATAAAAAAATAGCCTGACAGAAGGATAATTAATTCACCTAACCTTTCGCTATTTATAAAATATTTATAAACGTATTTTCTATTGTTTTTATACACGGTATACTTTATTATTTTCTAAATCGATTACGGTAAAACCTATCCAAAACGGAACCTGCCTAAACGGTAAAAATTCTTCGAAACTGAGCAATTTCCTGTGTTTAAGAACAGAAAAATCTGTTAAACCCGTAAAAAAAAAATTCTGTACTGGTATATTTGATTCCGGTTTACACAGGTTTTATTGTTTTCTGTAAGGCTTTATGGTTTAAGCAGGTTTTATTCTTTTCTGTAAGGCTTTACGGTTTAAGCAGATATATTATTTTCTGTAAGGCTTTACGGTTTAAGCAGGTTTTATTGTTTTCTGTAAGGCTTTACGGTTTACACAGGTTTACTGGTTTCTGTAAGGTTTTACTTTACGGTTTACACAGGTTTACTGGTTTCTGTAAGGTTTTACTTTACGGTTTACACAGGTTCACTGGTTTCTGTAAGGTTTTACTTTACGGTTTACACGAGTTTTAGTGTACGGTTTTACTTACAATTTTACTGTACAATTTACGGTTTATACAGGTTTACGTACAAAAAAAATACAAGTAAACACAGTTTTTCTATTATACCCTATCACATTTAAACGTTATCTAATGATACTTTAGCTAACATCTCACTACTCTGTACAAGTATTTTTCTCTAAAATACGTTTAAGATGGCAATTATCTCTTCAGATTTAAGTTCATATTACACATCACTAATGACTTGAATATGTCATGTTCTTAGCAGTGACATGATCGACATTCGATACCCCCATAAAAACTTACGCCCTCTGTGGAGAGCACTGAAAATTACTATTATTATTACTGTATTATTAATTTTTTTTTTCTTTTACACCTCCTCAAATATGTCTTCCCTTATTCACTCGCTTATACTTTATATTTACAGTAAAACCTGTGTAAGCCGGGATATTTAAGTTACCTTTTTATACGGGTTCCGTTTCGGACAGGTTTTATTGCAGGCCTACTTAAGTAAAGCCGTGTTTTATGGTATACCATTCCAGTCGAAAATCCTCTATATAGCGTGGGTATTGTCTACAAACTAATACAGTAAAACTTGTCAAAGACGGAAACATGACTATTTATAAATTTTGTTTATTAAAAGAAAATTATTTTATAAACAAAATAATTAAATTTATGTTAATTTGATCTGTACACTTAATTCATATTTATATACAGTAAAACCTGTGTAAACCGGTAATACCGGTTTGCCAGGTTTCCGTTTTTATTTAGGTTCCGTTTGGGACAGGTTTTACTGCATTATTATTATTTTTTTTATTTTTATTCTATTTTGAAGGGAACACATCCAAAATAATGTAATAAACACAACGTGGGTGGGCCATTTAGTAACATATACAAGTTATTTATATATGAGATAATTTCTCAACAAATTTCGTTAAGTTTATTTAAAACAGTAATAAAAAAAACCTGTTTAAAATGGAAACCTTCCTAAACAGGAAAATTGAGAAAGGAGCGCTTTTCTGTTAAAAAAAAGACCTGTACAAAACGGACATCCGCCAAACCGGTACCATGCTGTTCCGGTTTACACAGGTTTTACTGTATTTATTTATTTGTAAAGTATTAATGAAAGAAAGATTATTAAAAAAATTGTTTATTTTTAAATATTTTCCTATAAAAAGTATTATTAAATTGTTTTTACCTTTCTTTCTTTCCTTTTTTCCTTCTCAAAATATATTTAAATTGACATTTTAGTAAAAATTTAATTTTCGTAAAGAGTTTTTGTTTCATTACAAATGCTTTTTTTTTGTAATTTAAAAAATAAATAAATAAAATAAATTTTTAATATTTAAATGTAAAATTTATTTTCATTTTATTTGACGTATTTGCTCGAAACTTAAACAATTTATTCATTTTTTTTATAATAGAAAACAATAATAATAATTATTATAGTAAAACCTGTCTAAAAAAGAAAAAGAAATCTTCAAAACGGATCGATTTTTCTACGTTAAAAACCTGTTTAAAGCGGAAACTTTTCAAACTGTTACCGTGCCATTCCGGTTTATACAGGTTTAGCATCGATTATGACTTTTTTAAAAGAAAAAGTAATTTTATTTATATTATATAAATATGTCATATAAACTATTATTTTATTTATAGCCATTTTTATATGTCCGTATAAATATTAAAAATAAGAAAATATATATTTTAGGAGATTTGTATTATTTTTTAAAGTAAAAACAACAAAAATTTGACGTGTGATAGTGAAAAAAAAAGTATATTTTTTTTGCAAGAGAATATAAAAGTGAAAATATATAAAAAATAAATAAGATATTTATATTATTTTAAGAAATAAATATAAGTAAATTTGAGAAGATAATACAGTAAAACCTGTGTAAACTGGAATCGCTCGGTAACGAATACAGTAAAACCTGTCCGGAACCTGCTTTAGCGAAAAAAAATTCATATAAACAGAGCGATTTTCTATGGTAAAAAGAAAAAAAAAACTGTTTAAAACGAAAACCTGTCAAACTGGCAAAAATATAAGTTACTATAAGATTCCGCCTTACACAGGTTTTATCGTATTTATGGTATTTTATCCGTTCCGAATACTTTTTTAACAGTTTAAGCACGTTTCCGTCTTATTCGGGTTCTGTTTTTGACAGGTTTTTACTTTATACAAGTCAATATTAAAACACCTAAAACACCAGAAAACGATAGTAAACGTAAGTAAATTGTGGACAAATAAAAGAAAATTAATTTATTTTATTTTATTTTACTCTTAAAAATAAAAATAATTTTTAAACGGTGAATAACTTTGTCGATAGATTTATCGTTTGGATTTGAAGAGAGATTTATATCCCTAAGATTTACTTGGCGTTTAAATCAAAATCCTTGTATATCTCCCGAGAATATCTCATCCATGTCAACTAGTTCGGTATACAAGCGATTTTTTTAGTATTTCCTAGGCGTTTGGGATGGGAACAGCGTGCTTATTTACTAAACAAAACAAGGCCACCCCACCAGCAATACCTTCATAACTAAGAGCAAGACGATAGAATAATTAATGTGTACGAATTTCTATAGAGCTTCACTAGCGATGAGTAGACATAAATAATATAAAATATGTGGGTACTCACCATTATCGAGGGAAGGAACCACAGATCATTCGCGTACGTACTTATTTTCAACGAGTCCTATGTCCTGATTTGATCTATACGTACAGTTAAAATGGATGATATGATTATTCCTGTGTTTCTTGTGAAACTTCATGCAACAACAACAGATAGCATTCTGTATAGTCTCCTTGAAAGCCTCACGGAAATCACGGTTGAAATAAGCATAAATAATAGGATTAAGAGAAGAATTAAAATATCCTATCCAGAATACCATCTCCACTACTAAATCTGGGCATTCGCAGGCACTACCGCACATGGTAGTAGAGACGTACCATAAGAAAAATGGTAACCAGCATAGTATAAAAGCACCCATGATTATGCCGAGTGTCTTAGCCGCTTTATGCTCCCTTCTCATTTTGTTTATGGTCCTCTTAGTGGGTGTAGACTGGCCACTTTCGGGATCCTCCCCGTGCGAATTTCTATGAGGTGGGGCGTGTACGTTCGGTAATGCACCGTGATCGGTACTGTTCCTGGCACAGTTATGCATCATACCACCGGGTCCCATCTGTGTCTTGTATATCAATTTCTCCTGTCTGGTAGCTTCTTGGTATATCTTCCAGTATGTGAAGAGCATAATGAAGCACGGAATCCAGAACGATACGCTAGACGATATTATACAATAAGGTTTATTAACTATAAATCGACACTCGTCGGAATTAGTGCTTTGACGTATTATCTCCTCGTCCGTTGTATAAAATCCGAGAAAGATGGGTATGAACGAGATGAGACCGGAAGATACCCAAACGCAGGCTAACATAATGGCCACCGTCTTTCCGGTAATTTTCGTGGGGTATTCGAGGGGTTTGATAATAGCATAGTAGCGATCGACGCTAATGCAACATAGGTGCATAATTGATGCGGTGGAAAAGAGGACGTCACACGAATTCCAGAAATCACAAACGGTCTGATTAAAAACCCATCTGTCGGCTATTGTCATGCTGGCATTAAATGTCATAGCGAAAAGTGCCACTAGTATGTCAGCAAACGCTAGGGATACGATGAAGTAATTAGTAGTGATGCGAAGTTTATGATGCCTGAAAACACTGACGATCACTAACATATTACCCAAGACGGCCGTTAACATAATGGTGCACATGACAAACGATTTAAGCACTTTCGGTATACTCTTCCAACTGTCTTCGACGTCGTTGACCGTACTCGAAACGTTCTCCGTGTTCATCGTCCAATTTTGAGATTCCACTGAAGTTTCGTTCGTGTAAACATAGTCCGGTACCGAAGTCGATTCCGTCATTTCTCTGACGTCATCTGAAAAAAAGTAACACAAGTTAACTCGACAACGTTGACGAACACCAGTGCGAACGTAACGGCAGCGTAGGCGACAACATCATGCTCCGTCGAGTCGTGTGTTGTAGCAAATACCACCTCGCAGCTCGGTTTGCGGTCTACGGTACTCGATACTCGATGCCATTGGGTGAATGTGCTGCGCGCGCATCGCTTTGTCGCCGTCCAATGGCAGTGCTAGGAGGCGCTATTATCTTTTTTTTTTTAATTCTTCTTTCCGTTTTATTTTTACGCCGACAGGAGGCGGTCTTGTGCGACCGATGAAATAAAAATCGGAAATGAAATAAAGCGCTCCTTCCGGTTTGACGTGTAAAAAAGAATCTTTCTGTGACGTCACCGATCTTATTATACTTGTCTGTGTTGAAATATTTTTAGTCGATTTGCTCTTATCAAAGGCTTTTATTTATATATTTATTTATGTTTTCTTTTTCGTATTTTTTTTTATCTGTTTTTCTAATTTATTTGTTCTTTCCCCTCTGTAATTTTTGTTGTTACTTCTTAACGATTTTTGTGGCTTTATTTGTAATTATACTTTGTGCTCCATCCTCTTATTCTGTGTTTTATTTTTTAAATTAATTAATTCTTTGTAGTCTTACGCCATTTTTTTTCTACACTTTTTTTTAGTTTTATTCGCTAATCTGTTATATAAGTTATACAATTTACTAAATTGTCTTAGCGTTTTTTTTTCTTTTGGAATATTTTTAATAATTTTACTTATTTTTCTAATTTTTTTTACACAAAATTATATTAATTACATAAATTTAGTACTTATTTACTAGTGTTTTCCTTCCGTTCACTAACTTTGAGTCATTTTTAATTGATTGCGGTAAAACCGGCATAAACAGTAAAAATTCATAGGAACGAAGTGATTTTTCTATGTTAAAAATACCCTGTTTAACACGGAAACCTGCCCAAACGTTAAAAGTCTTTCGAAACGGAGCGATTTTATGTGTTAAAAAAACCCTATTTAATACGGAAACCTGCCTAAACGTTAAAAATCCTTTGAAACGGAGCGATTTTTTACATTAAAAATACCCTGTTTAACACGGAAACCTGCCTAAACGTTAAAAATCCTTCGAAACGGAGCTATTTTCTACATTAAAAATACCCTGTTTAACACGGAAACCTGCCTAAACGTTAAAAATCCTTCGAAACGGAGCGATTTTATGCATTAAAAATACCCTGTTTAACACGGAAACCTGCCTAAATGTTAAAAATCCTTCGAAACGAAGCGATTTTCTCTATTAAAAACCTGTTTTAAACGTAAATTTGTAAAAAAAAAAAAATATTCGGTACTGTACGATTCCGGTTTATAAACAGGTTTTACTGTATTTTTTTTTTTTTACTTTAATTTAATCTTTATTTACTTCTTTTAATTACATAAGAATAATTAAGGAATTAATTTTCATTCTTCTAAACGTTACGTGAATAAAGTTTACAGCATTACAATAAATATCATTAATACAAATTACATTTTAATATATATATATAAACGTAAATATTATTTAATTTATGTTTATCATTTATATACTTTCTCTTTATTTTTAATCACACTGAGCGTTATACAAACAATACGTAGTTTATAAAAGGACTGAATACAACCTGAGTTAATCAAAGAGAATTTTATTTATTTTATTATTTTATTTATATATATATACATAT